GTTAATGCCGATTCAAATATTACATAGTTTTTGAGGAACTTACGGTAAGATATGAAATTATGTCTTTATTATTACATTAATAGTTGAATAGTTGCTCTACGGGTACAGAGCCATAGATATTTATGTGTAAAACACCATGCTAATAAGCTTAGCAAGGGTTAGAAAAATGAGAAAAACCATAGTCCTTACCCTCAGAGAGCATACATAGTAGGAGAGAAATAGAAAGGGGTGTGAAAATAGTCCACACAAAGTGCAAAAATATGTGTATTATAACTCTTTAGAGAAAAATGCATTAAAAACACAGCTAGAAACTGCTGCAGTATACTTGAAAGTCACATAGGGAGGCAGCATAGTGCTGTGGAAAGGAAATTGTAATAATCATAAAGAGTTCTGAGTTCTAGTCTTTCCACCACTACCAACACACTAAGCAAATTCTCCTTGGCTTTTTCCTGTCTCCGGCTTTAATTCTTTTCTGTCTATATAGTGGATTTTAGCTAAGTCCACTAGTTTTGTAAATATTGTCGTATAACATGTGTTTGCTTTTTTTTTTACCTTCACAGAAGATGTATCCTTTTTTTTAAAGTTACTATTGAATAACTAATAACCTATTTTTAGTTATTATTAAGGAATGTAATAATAATTTATAAATTGTATAAATTGCATGGTGACTTCAAGTGGCCTTAATCAAATAAATAAAATAAGATTAACTGATTAGTGCAGTCACATATTTCTATTTAGAGGTCTTTGACACGTGTGATACCAAACATTTAAAAATTTTAGGCTGTATATTCCAAGTTTCTAAAATAAACATGTATGACTTTTGTAGTAGGTGGGGGAGGGGGAGACCCTAACAAGACTGCCTGAGTACTCATCTCCTTTGGATATTGCCACAAATTTGATTGGCTTTTCTTAGAGGTTGTTAAAAGCATCTAGAGATGATCTAGATGCTTGATTTGTGAAACAGTGAATTGATCTTAGTTTTTGCCTCCAAAGATTTTTATTCTCTTTTCCATAAAGCTTTAGTTCTATAACTGGTCTCCAATCAGTGTTTATACTATTAGGAAATTATCAGTCCAAATGCATCTAGACGATTTGCCTTCCTGTTTCTAAATTGGAAGTGAGAAGCTGCTAATTAACTAAATTTTAGCCTAGCATATCTGAACACTTCAAAAATATAAAGTGTAATATTTACGCTAATTTTCTTTCAAATAACCTAATTTTTTGAAGATATTTTAGCTGTGCTGAATTAAAAGAAAACCCTATTCCAAGTTTGTTTTATAAGTTATTCTTATGTGTCGTACGATATTTTGGTTTCATTTATAAACACAAAGGCACCTGTGAGACCTGGTATAGAATGTGACAAAATCAGTCACATTTGTGAAGCCATTTTTCTGTCCAAAGAGAACCAAAATATGCATCATCTGAAGCCTAAGGATGTTGACAAATAACAAAATGAAGCGTTTGGAGATTTTCATAAGAAAGAAGGTGGCAGCAAATTATTTGGAATTTTGCTCATTGCCTTATAAAGGGAATAACACTCTTAGATACTTTTAAACTTGAAGAGTTTTATTTTGATAATTGGTGATCTGTAGACCATTGGCCCTTATATCCAAACTGCATACGTTGTCAGAAAAGTTGGATAGGAGATTCCTGGCTGACGTATGGATTAATGCAACTCAGTGCTTTACCTAATGCATACTGCTTAAAGCCCAGGTGTTTCTTTTGTTGGCTGAATATTGTCTGATTTTCATTCCAAGTTGGATAGGAGATTCCTGGCTGACGTATGGATTAATGCAACTCAGTGCTTTACCTAATGCTTAAAGCCCAGGTGTTTCTTTTGTTGGCTGAATATTGTCTGATTTTCATTCCTATGTAATTTACTTGCATAGAGATTAAGAAAGCTCCTTTTTATTAAATAAGCTTGAAAACAAGATGAATGCACTAGGTTCTTGGGTAGAATGTATTGGATAGCTCCCTTTATAATAAGCATTTAAAAATATGCCCTCTAAAAGCTGGAAAATGTATTCTTTCTTGTATGGAAAGCAATATAGTACTGAAATATTCCTCCTTAATTTTGGTCTGAACGAACAAAAGTGTCTGTGTTTATTCCTGCCTAATGCATCACAAATCTGCTGACATGCTAACCTTGGAGTCTTGGCTGGCGTTAATCAGGCCTGTGCACCGGCAGGAAAGATGTACCTAATGCACTCCATCAGTGCAGTTTGCATATGGAAGTTCTCACAGGGGAGCTGCCCTGTGCCAGCTGAGGGTTACCTGCCCACTGCAGTTATTGTATGTAATTATCGAACCAATCTGTTCAGCCCAGCAGGGTTTAGATGGTAATCATGAAGCAACACTTTGGAAAAGAAAGATGTAAGGCACTCTCCCCTTCTCTCATCAGTTATATGAAGTTATAGCCACTCTTAATAGCTATTTTTGAGAAGCAGTACCTTCATATACAAATCTGCTAAATGAATGAGTTTTTGAAGTTTCTTAAGGTTTAGTCAATTGTTACTTTTGTATGTGTAAAGAGTTTTTTTTTAGGAACATGGCAGGTATCTCTGAGTTCTAGTCTTCCCATAGCCACCTTAAGAATGTTTTGAAACAGTAGGGTTAATTGTGATACATAGATAATAACACTTCTGGCCATTTGGAGGTTTTAAGATAATGTGGCTTGAATAGAGTTCAGCTTTCCCATGTAGTTCTCTTTGGAACAGAACCCAAGGTTGCCATTAGGAAGAAAGCAATGTGCTGTTAGCAGGTATTGTCCTCTTTCATAGCTATCCACAAAATGGTCTGCAGCAAGTAACATTCTCAGATGAAGACGTTTAACTTAATATTAATTGTTAGAAAATATAAACAAGGACATTTTATTGCATTGTGAATCTGTGAAATTTAGGACATATCAAATGGTTTCCTAAATGATACAAACTTATTTTAGGCAACCTACAGAAGCTTTGAATTAAAATTTGGATTTTAACATATTTAAATTTGAAACTACATGAGATAAAGTTTTATGAAAAATATAAGGTTTTATATGTATTATAATGCCCCTCTATAATCATACCTACATACAGAAATGTTAAGTAATTTAAAACCTTTACATAGGACTGGACTATTTAGAGAATGTTGTAGTGATAGAAAGTAATAAAAATGAATTGAACGGACATTTGAGAAGAGTGGATGGTGACAGAATATAAGCATTAATTCCTAAGTAACACTCAACTAGAAAAATAAATAAGAAAGGCCTGAGAGAATGGTGGAAAAAGTGATTTTTGAGGTTTTAGGAGAGTTTTGTACTTTTAAGACTATTCATTTACAGTCAGGTTTTTGGCCCTCTTATTTAAACTTTTCATAAAAAGTATGCCAAAAGAGAAACATTTATTAGAAGTTTGCCATTACTGATTCATGAATGGAATTTTACTACCAGTGTTATGTGGCACAACTACTGATATAACATATGGGGCAAGGAATATATTTTTCCAATTCTCAAGTAGATTACCCTCCCTCCAATACCCTCACCAACATTGTAAAATGGGGAGAATAAATACTATTGGCCTGACTGGTGATAGCAAGTTTGTAAAACACTTTATTTTATAAGAAAGTTTCTGTATCATCAGTCCTGATGGTTAAAACATAGCTTTTAATGATGAACTATATAAAGCATGAAAAGTTAGAGGTGGATATAACAAATATACTCACCATCCAGACTAACCATATGGTTGAAAGTTCTCTTACATCCTTTTTCTTCCATCCCCCATCCCTTCCCTTAGGTAACCATATCCTGAAGTTATGAATATTCTTCCAGTATGTGTTGATGTACCCACACCTATATACAATTGACCCTTCAACAATGAGGGAGTTATGAGGGCTGATCCCTCATGCAGTCGAAAATCTACGTATAACTTTCCACTCTCCCAAAACTTAACTACTAATGGCCTGCTGTTGATGGAAACCTTATCAATGACATAAACAGTTGATTAATACATATTTTGTATGTTATATGTATTATATACTGTACACTTACAATAAAGTAAGCTAGAAAAAAGAAAATGTTGTTAAGGAAATCATAAGAGAAAGTAAATTTACAGTACTGTACAGTATTTATTGAAAAAA